GAAGTATTTGCTATGAAATACGTGTTATGTGTTTATACGTTGTTTGTTTACTTGAGATGGTTGGTAAATAGATGTGGAGACAGGCAGTGCAATGTGGGAGCCGTGCTCCAACAAGACCCGAGCCTAGCATTGGACACATTGTGGATGATATTCAAGCTAGAATTTATTCTTTTTAAGTTTCTAATTGAATGCGGATACTCATAAGAATGGTAAGAGGGTGGCACATCAATTAGCTAAACTATCCATTTAATCATCAGGGATGGGGAAAATATGGTTATAGGAGAAGTCGGAATCTAATAAGCAGTCCTTCTGTGTAAAGTTAGCTCTGTGTTATTTCATTTTTTAGAATTTGAAAGGCATTAGATGGTGTGAAAATCTTTACATATAAGCTCTATGTTATAGATAGGTGTACGAGTGTACTTGATCTTGATTTGAATAACTTCTTTCTATGTCAACAGCCAATAACCAATTGACAAAGGTAGTCCTTATAACTGCAGTGATGTTGTCCAACTATTGCCACTTCATAAAGAAGGTGGATCCGTGAGAAGGGCGGTGGACAGAACCTTTTTTATGCAGCCTAAAAGGTAGCCGGCTAAGAGTGACTAAACGGCTTTGCCCAAGGGTTGTGAGGCTCGACCAGTACGGTATCTCAAATGCCGGCGGACAAAGTACCCCAGCTTACCAGATTTGTAAAAAAAGGAAAGACTTTCTAATCTATTCTCCTCTATCTGAGGCAATCACTACGAACATGCGCTAACCTCATATATCTCCTTGATCGACCTCTTATTCAGGCAATGAGGGGTCCATCCATTAGATCTGCTGGTCTGCTCGGAGCGTAACCATACTTTGAGGTTTCATACGAGGAAAGGGAATTTGATAGTTTAGACCCTTAGGCGTGGATATGTCGTTTCGGTAGTAAATGGACTAGAGCCTTCAGTGCTTTGGTTGGCTGCAATGTCTAAGGATGAAGGTCCGAGGCTACTGGTGGCCAAGCTTCTAAGTACTTAGCCAACGGATACGAATTCGAAAAAACGGTCAATCTCCGAAAGGCCTTTGCAGAGCTTTAGGGGGAATACTTTTGTGGTCTTTCACCTTCTTCCTTTTGACTGGCCAATATCTTTGAATCAGGGCTTTTGCTATTCCCACAGTCCCTTAGTCCCGTCGGTCTATCTCATATTCGCAGAAGAAGGAACTTGCTTAATGCCATGCCGGAAGTGTAATTAAGTAGGCGAGAGGTGTAAGCACCGCGAGGTGTGAAGCGATCTCGTACTAAACGAAAGAACTTTCACTTTCCATAACCAAAATGAAAGAAAGTCAACCTATTCCTGCAATTGCGGTCAGTCTCGCTACCTCTTTAGTTGCCGCCCCCTACTTGCTCATTCGCAATGACTACCACAAGAAAGTAGCCCCTATCTCTAAAGGGGCTTATGCACTCCACGACTTTCTTATGTTATTATAAGACTGAATTTAGCTTCCAACCCTAGTCAGCAAGCTTCAAAAGTCCTTTCTCCTTTCTTTTCCGAAACTCAAATAGAAAACTCTCCCCATGGGACCGGGGTTTGAGGTTGTCATACCACTTTCATCCGATATCTAGTTTGAATTCTAAGACCCTCTTTATGAATTATAAGGCCCTCTTTATGCTCTCAAAGACTTTTACAGAACTGAGATTCCATAGGCCGAAACGAAGCCCTCTCCTCGCGGGGGGGGGGGGGGGGGCAGGAGACGGATGCACTACTCTCCTCATTAACTATTGATTCAATACGAGTGCTCCCAGAAGAGATTGTAATTTCCTTTCAAAAACGTAGTTTCCCGGGAACCTTTTCCCGGTAACCGGCCGCATCGGCCCCTTCGTTACCGTCAGCATTTGGTACTCTCTCGATAGCTTCAATAGTTCACTGAAAGCCTTTGGTGTAATGAACCGCAAGCCCTTCAGAAAGAAAGACATAATAAAAAAAAGATAAGAAAGATTTGGTACTTGGTCCAGCCTCACAACCTTGTTTGTTAAGTGAAAAATATAGTAAATAAAGAAGGTGGAATTGTTGAAGATCTGGCCAATATTCAAATGGAACGACTAGTAGTCTATGACTAGTGGTGTTACGGAACAACTATTGTACCGCTTGTTGGCTCTACTTTTTTGTATATAAACCAAGAGTTTAGTTGGGTTATGCCTTATATTTTTGTTCGTACATTTCCAGAAGTTACGTACATCAAAGATTACTGGCACAGAGGTCCTTATTGGTTGTCTTTATAACTGCAACACATTCATGCTGGACAATCAAAGCAATCACACGTTCAATTAGTATGGCTTGCTTGTATAGATGGCAGTAGGAAGAGAGCCATTAGAAAAGAAAGAAATTCAAAATGTTCCTGATGGAAATGCCTATATTTTTGAGGATCACAATCATTGATACAGTTTGGATACCAAGCTATCTTATAAATATATTTACAAAAAAGCCTTCGATGTAGTGATGAAATTGTGATACATAATCAATCCTATTTGTTTTGTTCATTACTAAAGAATCCTATAAAATCTTTCTCTTTATCCTTTGAATTACTCATATATATATCCTATGAATTTCATTTCGCACCGGAAACTATTCTAGGAGAAGTTCGAATCCGTTCCGTTCGGATATTGATCGGTCTTGGTTTGACATGGTTTACGCGTTACTGGTTCCCGGAAGAGTTAATATCTCCATTAGCTAAACCCTTTCTTATTCTTACCTTGCCTTTGGACTCGTATTTTGTTCGTACACAATCAACGGAGGCCTGTCTCGAGGTAGGCCGTGGATTGAATAGAGAAAGAAGGGCTAGAAGAGCATCCATAGGAAGAAGAGGATGGAAGAGTAGTGCATCCGTGTCTACTCACTCCGGTGGGATTCCAAGATGAAAAGGGATCAATCCAATTACAGCTGTCAGCTAGATAGACGAAACGAGGCTCTCAGAAGAGATTGTAAGCATTTGGTACTCTAAGGCTTGAACAAGCACTCGTAGTTGATTTTGATGATTGGATCTCTCTATGAATGGAAAAGGGGTGCTTCGGATCGGGAGTAAACACTAGTTACATTACAGGGGAAAAATCGGGGCGAAGGACAAAAGAAAGAAAGAGCGACCGATGCCTACATTAAATCAATTGATTCGTCATGGTAGAGAAGAAAAACGGCGCACAGACCGTACTCGAGCTTCGGATCAATGTCCCCAGAAGCAAGGAGTACGCCCGCGTGTACCAACGAGAACACCGAAAAAACCGAATTCAGCTCCACGTAAGATGCGGATTTAGTTTCAGGGTTCGTTTTGACTGATTCTTTAGTTGAAGCAACTGATGCCCTAACTTAACCCGCCTTACCTTTGGTGCTTTCTATTTCTATAAGTAGTACTTGATCCCGGAAAAAGGTTAAAGGGATAGGCTTGATGCCAGATCCACTTTTAGGGTTGACTCAGCAGTTGAAGAAGGTTGTAATTTGACTAGCTGTTCTCTCTTTCCTGTGCTCGCTAACTTTTTCATCCGTGATAATTGACTAAACTTTGTCAAGTGCTATCTACGAACACCAAATCGGGTATATTGAGCTTGAGAAGGACAACATCCGATCGGGAGACAGACCCTTCAGCGGCCTATCTTCTTAATTCAGCTTCCGCGACTGGTGAATCGAAAAATCCTAGTTATTTATCTTCGGAGACAGTATCCAATTTAGCATTTAGTGGCAAAACCCCCTCCCGGGCGATCTTCTTATACGGACTTTCTATCCCGTAAATAATATATGACTTCTCGGCAAAGACCTACTCCAGATAGGTTGAGGAGGCATAAGTCAATGATGATGGCATCGAATGCCTCTTTGAAAGGAAAGAAAAAGCTCTTGTCGCTATTAGGCTTTGATGAGAACATCTTGGGAGTTCCGAAATCTATACTACCCATGGCCACTTCCATCAGGAACATTTTGAATTTCTTTCTTTTCTAATGGCTCTCTTCCTACTGCCTCTCTTGCCTAAAGAGGTCAGTCCACCGCGTGTCTGTCTTCCAGTTCTTTGACTCCCAAACCTTGGGTCATTGATTCTGCCCCCGCTTATCAATTGGTTAAAGCCACAAATTAGGAGGTGGTAAAGGCACATGACGATAAAGGGAATCAAGGAAAGAATAGCGGCTGTTTATATTTAGTGGGTAGAGACTTTTCATCTTTCAACCAAAGCAATCCTTGTCTCCCCCTTTCATACTAAAGAAGTGAAAAATGTCAACACCCTAAATAACTGAGTTGTCACTCAATTCAATACGAGTGTACTTGAATTCTGGTTCATATTTGTATATAAACCCTATCTTCTTAATTGAACCTCCCGCGGATCAAAAAAAAGGAGGAAGTCAATAAAAAAGAGATGTTAATGAATCAAAGGTCCAACTGATCGCCGCGTCTGTCTTGTAAATATGCAGTTACGAATAATCTAGCCAAAAAGTAATAGGAATTAGACCTAACACGATTAAAAATAGAAAAACTTCAATCATATACTTTAGGTCGTTAAAGTATATAAGCTCTATGTAATGTCATTGATTACCGGGTTTATTAGCAATGCTTACACACCATCTAAGAGATGTTACTTTTTACTAGTGATAGATCTATTGCCAACGACAAATATGAACCAGAATAGGCCTTTCCTTAACACTTTGATGTGATGTCATTAATCTGGGGTTTTGAATAACTTGAAGGAAAGAGACCCTATTGAGCTATTCATTCTGGTACGCTATAAGCACACGTTCACACTAAGCCTATTCTGTTAGTCCCTTATTAGCCCAAATAGACACTGACTCCTATGGCCGATCTGTCACCCAACCTACTTAAACAACCTAAAGGCTTGGTCCCGTCCCGTTTGGAGAATGACCCCTTATGGCACGGCTTAGTCAGTTACTCTCGCATTTCAGATAAGATTCGGACCGCCACTTCTCTGAAAACATGGTTCTTGCCCCCCTCTCTCCTCCCCCCTTTGAGCTCGTCCATTCGTTGGGTGATCCCTTGCTCTCACGTTCGAGTGTTTGCTCGTCGTTTAGGCCGGTGAGTGAGATTTCTGCTCATTGCAGTCACCTCCGGGCTTCTTCGCACCTGGATAGTACTAGGACCCTTGTGCCCCGGCCCTTGATCAGATAAAGCTGCCCGCCCTATGACCCACAACTTAAAATGAGCCTTGCGATGAGACGCGGACATTCCCCATGCTGCGGTTCCCTCCGGTCCGTTCCCGGGTTGGGTTAGGGGAACATCCGAGCGATTTCCTTCGCGGATCCAAACGCGCTCACAAGGCGCACAATAAGAATAAGACCAATAGAGACTTCATAAGGGACCATTTGAGCTGCAGATCGTAATGCTCCTAGAAAGGCATATTTCGAATATAGAGGAGTGAAAGTTCCCAACAATCAATGAATTTTTCATTTCCTTATATGAACCGTACGAGCACGTCCTTTGTCACCCCCCACCGCGCTTACGGCTCTATACTGTCGTCGCCGGGGAGCTCTTGGCGAGGAGACCTTAGGATAAGTTGCTAAAACAAACGGGGGGGGGGGGGGGGGGGGAGGATCGACCCGTTCAGTAGAATTCCGAAGAAAGACTGTTGGCAGCAGGTGGAGACATTTCTTTTGCCCCTTCAAAAAAGAAAAAAAAAAAAGACTGTTAGCCTTTCTTTTACAGATAGTGTAGTCGATCTGGTAGAAATTAGAACGTGTGCTCATAGGTCTTTTGAAGAAAGGTTTCCTCTTGATTGGCATAGTTCTTTTATGTCTTCATACCTCATTACATAGGGTGTTTTTCCACCTAACAGAAAAAGACCTATGCGTTACATAGAGCTTATTTCCTGCTTATATGTAATGTGATGTCATTACATAGGGTGTTTTTCCTTCTTAGCATATTACTAAGAAGGAAAAAAGCCCCCCATCTCGTTCGACAACAAGCCCAAGCCCTTCTCCTCAAAGAGCACTAGTTGCCTTTCAAATTCTAAAAAATCCAAAAGGTCAAAGGGTGTTTAGGTCGTTAAAGTATATAAGCTCTATGTAATGCATTAGTAAAATATTAGTGGAAGGGCGCGCTATTTGTTTACATCCATTAGTTTGTAAGGGCTTCAATGCAGACTTTGACGGGGATCAAATGGCTGTTCATGTGCCTTTATCTTTGGAGGCTCAAGCAGAGGCGCGTTTACTTATGTTTTCTCATAAGTAAAATCACTAGACTTAAAGAGTTAGGGATATCCGAACCACTACTAGCAGACATCAAAGCAAAAAACATACTAACACCGGGGGTGTAATGTCATTGAACGTGTGTTTACGAGAACCGGGAGGTAGAAGAGGGAGAAAGCCCAGTCTTCTATCTCAGTCTCAACAGAAGGTAAGAGGAAGGGCCATTCCCTCTTTCCTTCGGGAAGGGCTTCAAAGCGCCTTCATCATGTCAAGCTTCAGGCAACCGATTGGCTCCAAGGGACTTTAGAAGAAGAGCAATGAGCGTAGTGTTGAACTATTTCAGTAAGCACCCCTTCCGAAATAGAAATCCATCCTTGATTGCCATCGAGATTTCCTCCCCAACTAGCCCCTTATTAATCTAAAATGAAAGAAGAAGTTCGGGAAACCGTCAGGCCCCACTCAACAAACAAGGTAGACTGGGATTTGCTTGCTCACCTTTTTTGGCTCCTTCCCGGCCCGGAAGTTCGCTTCTGACGACTAGCTTCTACCGCTAGCGCTTGGACTTGGAAGCAAGCTAAAGCTACCTTGAATCAAATCAATCAATGAATGAAAAAAAAAACCGCTTACCGAGAAATAGAAAGGAAGGACAAGTTGGTTTGAGGACCCGTTGGTCAAAGGAAAGGGGGGTCCTGATTCCGGGACGGAGCCGTCATAGGAAGAAGAAGCAGTCGAGTTCAATTTATTCTTATTTTTCATTCTCTTTTTTTCTTTGGCCCTTATTTCTTCTTATCTCTCTTTTCCGACTAACGCAAACATGCTACCGTTAACCATGCTACCACAGAGAAAGTAAAGCTGGCTCTTCCAGCTCTCGTATCCGAGGAAAGCTAACTTCATTCCTAAGCGTCTTCTTTTCTTGGTGTGATCGTATCAGCGTACGAATCCGGAGTGATGGCATAGAAGGAGCTGCAATTGAATCAAAGAAGAAGTTGTTGTGCTAGAATCCATTGTTACAGAATAGGCAGCTATAGAACCAGTCCTTGGCATCATATGCTTTGGTTTCGTACTTTAATGCTTTTATTTCATCATTTTGTTTTATTCTGATTGTATCTACATACCCGTTTTCTATTTGGGTTGCTAACTCAACGGTAGAGTACTCGGCTTTTAAGTGCGGCTAGGATCTTTTACACATTAGATGAAGCGAGGGATTCATCCATACCATCGGTAAAGTTTGGAAGACCACGACTGTCGTGACGCTGAACGAGACATTCGAAAACTAAAGCGCACACTAGAAAGTGCTTCGAAAGATGTCAGCAGGTGCGCGGAGCCGGAGCCCGGCATGTTCGCCCGCTGGGCCGAGTGTTCGCCCACTTCAGAGTCTTCGCCTTTAGATAACAAAAAGTGTCTGCCCCTTAGGTCGCCAAACTACGACGAGAGTTTCGCCTTTTGAAGCGCCAGTCGCGTAGGGCGACCGGGCCAGGCCGAGTCAGAAAGGCTTTGATGACTCAAGGTTCATATTAGGTATGTGAATTTCCGTGCACTTTGTTGGGGAACTCTGCAAGTCCTTATTCGTTCATTCACATCCATCAAAGCAATCACACCCTTTTCCGAGAATACATCTTCATGAATCCATTTTTGTTCTTTCATTACAGGTAAAACCCCCTTGAAGTATTAACTAGTGGAGGAAGAACCCTATTAGACAACCCACCCCTTCTCTTTTCTTTTTCACAAATAATAAGTTTCGTATTGAATTCGGGAGTTGGAACATGATGAACTATCACCACTCAAGACGAGGAAGATTACGAGGACGATTGGAACCATGGTATTATTCTTTCTACAATTACCTCAAGACGGGTTCATACCGGAGTACGCCACTCGTGGTCAGAGGAGAGCCCGGAGGGAACTTTCCCGACGATTTGTGATCTTGGGAGATGTCCTTTACAAAAGGTCACTCGCCCTTCCGAAATAAGGAGCACACATTGTTGAACAAGCTCATTCAAGTGAATGGTCATATGAAAGTATACAATGTGTTGCATTACTCAAATGTACAAAGAGATAAGGAAGGCCACAACATTAGAAAGGGCTTACCGTAGTGCTTCAACAAATCAAACGAATCACTGCAGTTATAAGAATTTCCAGAAGTTACGTCATATGAAAGTAGCTAGAAAGAACTGCACTTGAATTATAAGGACAACATCCCTGGCTTCTACCTTCACATACCCAACCTCAGACTCTTTCTAGCTACTCTTCTCGAACCGCTGTAACTGCGCCTTATTGGCTTCTTTTCAGGCTTGAACAAGCAAGTACGCAAACAGCCTTCGGTTCCTAACAAGCTAAGCACCTACACCGCTGGCCTGGGGAACTACGAACTACTAGTTTAGCCTATCTGGCCTAACTATCTTGTTAAAACAACCTGATCGGGACCTCTACCACTCTTGTAGATCACTGAACTATGCGCCTATCTTCGCTTTTCGATCAGCCGTTGCCTAGCACATATATAGATTCATTCTTCGTACCTAGTCCAGCCTCACAACCCTTCGCGGGTTGGTAAGAAGTCAGTCTTGTTTGGTAAGACGGAAAGTTATAGCAAAAAAAAAATGGAATTTGATTAGTATATGCTTTTTTTATTTATCACCTACTTTTTTGTATATATGGGGAACTATACTAGTTCATATCTTTTTTCATAGTTGTTTATGAATGTCCATCATAGACCTAACACGGTGAGTAATTCACTTTGTTTAGGAGAAAACAAGACATTAAGCTTTGGTTGAAAGATGCAACGTACATCAAAGATTATCTCTTCAGATTCGTTAATATGTGGATTCCGTTTCCGAATCTTCCGATCTTTTTTTTTCAAGACTACTACTATTGCTAACGTAGTAGGCAAAGTGCTATTAATCGGATGGTCCGACCCCCATCTCGACCCGGTGTCGCAAGGGTATGCGTTGAGGTGGATCTTCTGAAGAAAAAGCCTAACCTAATAGGTTCTGGTTAGGCATGGGAAAAACGAAGGAAGATGGCATAAAATCGTCTATGAGAAAGACCCCACGGAACGATATTGCACGTCTTGTTCCAAACAAGGTTATTCAAAGTAAAACTTCAAACTTCGTTCGAAAAAGTCAAGTACAACTGATGCAGCCAACAAAGAGAAGCCCAACCAGCAGCCGTCAGCTCCTAACTCTAATGCCTATAGGAAAAAATCTTCACAAGGTCAAGGAGGGTTCACCTTCTGTCAACAGAAGTAACATCTCTTAGATGGTGTGTAAGCACAGCAATGTCATTGACATTACATATAAGCTTATAAGCAAATCGTCGGGAAAGTTCCCTCCGGGCTCTCCTCTGACCACGAGTGGCGTACTCCGGTATGAACCCGTCTTGAGGTAATTGTAGAAAGAATAATACCATGGTTCCCATCGTCCTCGTAATCTTCCTCGTCTTGACTGGTGATAGTTCATCATGTTCCAACTCCCGATAGTCTTCATCCAAGAAGAGAAATGAATCCCGTTCGGCGGAAGGGCTCTCTGTGGCTCGGATTCAATGAATGTTTTATACAGGTTTTTTTTTTATGATTTAAACTATATATGTAATTTATATCTACAAATATGTTGGGTAGAACATGGGTAGATGAAATAGTTGGTGTGTGAGGAAAGATGAGTTTGAGGATGAGACGAAAGATGATGTAGATCATGAGATGAGGGTGACAGGTGAAAAATGAGTGAAACCTTTACCCAAACGATGGCCCCCGTCATTCAGCAGAGTAGGGATGACAACCACAGACTATTCTAGACAATCCTGTGGAACACTAGCAAGCTCGCAACTTGTAGGTGTTGTGGACTTGATGTTCACCGGTGTACTCTAAAAACCCATTCATATGTATTGCTAGAGGATGTCTCGGAACCAATACTGTCAATAAACGAGATAAACCCCGACGACTATGGAGTTAGCGCTTGGTAACTACGGATATAGTGTCTGTTGAGAAAACCCTGGCAACGATGGATTTCATGCCGATTCCTTAGGATAATCCTTAGGAATAAATGAACGAGGAATAGTTGATTCTTAGGGTAATCTTTAAGAAATAAAGAAGATAATGGGGATGGGTAATTGGGTTGATTGTTTGATGATTATTGTGGGTTGAAAATCCTATATGCTCACGAGGCTCCCAAGCCTGACCCACTCAGTTTTCTTTGCATTACAGGTAATGGCACAAGAGTACAAGTTGGTGGACTTGATGAGAGATTTTGGATAATAGATCAGTAGTTACAAATAACTGTTGTAAGGTCTATTTTATATTGTTTATGCTTTTGGTCTGTATCGGAACATGACATCCCGAGATTTTGTTATTTAATGAAAATACATTTCTTTAAAGAAATGCTTGGATAAATTTTTGTCATATTTTGTTTTGGGAACAAATTCCGCAACATTTTCTTTAAAACGATTACTCTGATTTTAAAACAAAGCATAAACAAATCGGTATTTTCTGGCCGTGAAATTGGGGATGTCACAAGTATCCTAATCACTGTTACATTATAGACAAAGCAGTCTATGGTCTGAAACAACCTCCAAGGGCCTGGTACGAAACTCTTACTCGTTTCTTAAAAATGTCTAAATTTAAACAAGGTTCGGTTGACCCAACCTTCTTTCGCAAGAAAGAGGGTGGCCACTTAATGATCGTGCAAATCTACGTTGATGACATTATCTTCGGATCAACAAACCCCTGCCTAATAGCTGAATTCCGAAAGCTAATGGAAACGAAATTTGAGATGAGCTCAATGGGTCCAATTAACTTTTTCCTTGGTTTAAACATAAGACAGAGCCAGGAAGGAATATTTATAAATCAGGAGGCATACACGAAGACCCTGCTCGCTAAGTTTGGAATGGTGGGAGATTAAAAAACGAAGGTTCCAATGACATTCGGAACGAAACTAACACCATCTCTGGAAAAACCAGCTGCTGATATGACCCTTTATCGTCAGATGATTGGTTCACTAATGTATCTAACAGCTAGTCGACCATACATTATGTTTTCCGTTTTTTATTGTGTTAGGTTTCAAGCGAATCCTCGAGAACCCCACATGGTAGTTGTCAATAACATTTTCAGGTACTTAAAACGAACTTCCTCACTTGGCATATGGTATCCATCAAACTCAGGTTTCTTGGTACAAGCGTTTTCGGATGCTGATCTTGGAGGGTGCTGTGACATCCCCAATTTCACAGCCAGAAAATATCGATTTAATTTATGCTTTTAAAATAATTTCAGAGTAATAATTTGATTAAAAGTGTTGCGGAATTTATTCCCAGAAAAACATGATAAATATGTTATGAAATCATTTCCGAAAAAATGTATTTTATTCACTTAAACCATTGGGATGCCATTGTCAATACAAAAACATAAGCATAAACAAAACTTACATTCATTTACACTAGTGATCTACTTCTCTTTTAATCTCTCAGTGTAAAGCAACTTCGTATCGATACCTGTGATACAATTAAACTGAGTGGGTCAGGCTTGGGAGCCTGGTGAGCATATAGGGTTTTCAACCCACAATAAATAATAAACTTATTAAGTTCTCAATCAACAATAAATTTATTAATTCCATCAACCAAAATAACCCTAATTACTCATTCCCATTATCCTCACTTTACATCCCTAAAACAACTATCATAAGGGACCTAGCCTAAGGATTATCACTAGGGGTGACAACATTGCTTTGGGTGAGAGGATGAATATGAGAGAGAGGAGGAAAAGTACTAAGCTCCAA